AAATCCACTCTGTGGATTCCTGCCGGGTTCTGATCAGCCGCTAAGCAAAAGTGAGTTGATGTTGTCCAGAAGTTTCTCTCTTTGACTGACTTCTCCTCAGCACCCCTGATCTTCAATTCGGCTCGGTGTTGCCTTACCCCCTCGCGGTTCTCTACCTAAGTACCTGACTTGTCGCTTATTCGGGTTTATTTGTTTTTTCGACACGTCAGGCTTCCGAGGGCCACTCTAGGATCGGCGATCCCTTGAGTCAATACAAAGAGGTGGATCACAGCACAACTTGGTCGCGTTCCAGGTCACCACTGCGATGCCTATCAAACTACCCAAGAGCTTCAACCGACGGAAGTCGTCCGGTAATGTGCTGGAGGACGTGGAGGCCCCTCAATCCTCCTTTCGAGTTTTCGAGCGACCCGGTCCCCAACGATCCATGACAGACGGAGCGCCCTTGACGAAGCGATTCAGCGAAGGCAATGCGGTGCCATCGATGCTAGAAGACGACAACATATTTGCCGAGACCGAGCGACCCCTGGACAAACATCGGTATGACCGCCCCTCGACCATGGATTCCCTCAGGAAACGACTGACTGGGAGGCGTGACAGTGGTAACTACGAAAGTTCTACGTCAACCAGGTTAAGTTCGTCGTCGACCCTGCCGTCATCTACAGAGGTCCCTCCGCCCGACGAGACCCAATCCCCGCATTCCAGAATCCATGATATACCCGATCCATCCCCGCTGTCAGGTGCTCTGCGTGCCGCAGGGAGGACCTTCTCCTTCGGTGGACGCTTCTCGAAGTCGTCTGCGCCCGTTGTTCCTCGACAGGGAACCCCAGATGCCGCGAAGACCCGCCCTGTGACCGGCAGCACCGACAGCACGGCGACACCTCCCAAGCTGCCCGATACAAACTTCACACTTGGCTCGAGCGATGATTTCAATAAGATGTTCGACAACATGAACTCCCGACAGAGTGTAATGCGGGATCCTTCGCCTCAACCGGGAAAGGTATGGCCTATGATTCATCGCAGCCAGAGGCGTATCTCACTAACTGTATCGCAGTACTCCTCTTCCCCCCCTACTCATGCCCTCCCCGCTTTCCAGTCTAGCAGAGCTGGCGCGCCCGCTCCGATTAACACCGATCGATCCCCTGTCATCGAGTCGCCTCCCTACTCCTGGGACCGTGGTCACCATAGTCGCCCATCCGAGGAGGGATTGCTACATAACCCGGATGCGTACTCAGCAAACCACAGCCAGTCCACCCTCGACACAGTGACCGCCTTGCGAAGACCATCACCGTCGCCGAATCTCGTATCCGAGGCCACCACTTCCCATCGTTCTTTGGATCGACCCAGCAGAGGACAGTCCGACAGGGGGTTGTTGCGGAGGAGTGGCGTATACTCACCACAGCGGGAATCCGTGCCCTTTGACGATGAGGATGCAAAGATGGTCCGCCAATCTCTCATGTGGAGCAAGGAAGGCTCTGCAGAGTGGGCCGATGCTCCCAGCTCCGGTGGGCCTTCTGCTGTGGACAAGGGCAAGGGAGTCGCTTATGCTCAGCACCTGAGCCCCGAACCTGATAATATGTTCCAGTACCGTCGTTCGCCTGCACCTGCCGACCCTGTGGATGACTCGATCGCGGACAATGCACGATTGGCCGTGCAATTTGCTGAAAGCATGCCTAAGTCGGCTTCTCCCGGCAACAAGGTGATGACACCGTCTCAGTTTGAGCACTACCGCCAACAGCAAGAGCTCCGACGGTCCAATAGCAATGCCACCAAGAGTGACGAAGAGTCCGATCATGACGACTTCGACGATGAGGAAGACGAAGTGGAGAAACAGCGTGAGACGGAACGGCAAAGACGGAAGCAAGAGGCCCATCTCTCCGTTTACCGCCAGCAGATGATGAAAATCACTGGTCAGCAAGCACCCGCGCAATCTCTGCACCCAATGGTGAGTGGAGGTAGCAGCAGCACACCCAATCTGCTTCCGAGCCGTCTCTCCGCCCAGGGAGACAAATCTACTAGCGGCAAGAGCAGCGAGGAGGAGGACGATGATGTGCCATTGGGTATTTTGGCAGCACATGGATTCCCCCATCGCAATCGCCCGCCTACCCGCTTGAACAATGTCAGCTCCAACCCCAACCTTCGTGCGTCCATGGCCCCGCCGTATATCTCGAGTTCGAGCTCGACAACGGGGGCACAAAATGAAGGCAACCGGGGCAGTCTGCCTGTCTTCGCGAGGAACTTGCCGCAGGACCCCTACTATGGTGCAGGTATCCACAATGGTCCCAACCGTGAATCTCTGGCTATGGGAGGCGGCGGCAGCGGTGCTTCCGTATACGGAGGGTCTACCTCTCATCAGATGCATCAGAATCAGATGCCTCCCCCTGGAGGCCTTGTTGGTGTTATCGCGAACGAGGAACGGGCGCGGGCGATGCGCAGAGGAAGCCCGAACACACACGCAATGCACGATATGGGAGGTGTGCCAAGGCCATACTCGATGATGCCCCAGCAACAAAACAACGTCACCGCCGGAGAACAGGCCTCAATCCAGCTGACACAGCAAATGGGCCACATGATGCAGATGCAGATGCAGTGGATGCAGCAAATGATGCAGATGCAAGGCGGACAGGGTCAACCCATGATGCAGGGCGGTATGCCCATGCCGCCAATGATGATGCCTGGAATGCCTCCCATGGGTTCACCTTCTATGACAGGCCCTCCTTCTATGGCCGGTGTCAACCCAAATATGAGACCGATGTCTATGCCTGCAGGTTCCGCTCTTGGGGTGCCGCCCTCGTTACCTCCTCACATTGACCAGCGCACATTGAGCATGCTAGATCCGAATATCTCCACTCGCCGGACCGGTTCTCCCATGCCGAACCTATCTGGTAGTCCCTTCCGTCCCAGCACAGGATACGCGGCTTCCATTGCTCCATCGGAGCGTAGCAATGCCGGCATGGCATCTCGCTACCGCCCCGTGTCAGTTATGCAACCCGAACAAGCCAACCGAGCGGTCTCCCCCATGAACAAACCCTGGGGCGATGAAAACCACAACCCCGCCCTGCCCATGTCGCAATCACACCCTAACCTGCCGAAATCCTCCCTTGCAACGGTCACAGTGCGGCCAGTCTCACGGAACAGCCCATCTGGCAACCGAAAGGCCGGATCCGACGAGGACGACGACGACGACGAGGCATGGGCTGACATGATGAAGAAACGCGACAAGAAGAAGAGCAGCTGGAAGCTGAAGCGGGGGACTTCTGGCTTCGGTGATCTCCTGAGTGCTGTACACTAAGTCTCGGCTCTCTATCCACCCTGTCACTCTCCTCAAATCCTCACCCACGAGACCCTGTCTACATTTGCATATGAACAGATAACCTGTCCACGTCACGCTGTATAGCCTTTCTTTTTTTCTCTCTTTTTTCTTTCTCTTTCCATTTCATGTCTCCTTTGCATTTCCTATTTCCTTAATCTCTCTCACTCTCATTCCCTCTCTATGACATGAAATCATCACGCACATACCATCGAATTCAAAGGGCTTATTCTGCTGTTTGGAAATGTCTCGGCTTCATATTGCCTCCATGCATCCCTGGTCTCCGATCTGTGCATTGCATTGCGGATAAAAAAAAGTGAGCATACGGCATCCGGCATACGGCATTCTCAAGTATGATACATATGTTTCTTTGTGTTTCTAGTTTACTTGACTTCGATTGTTCTTTCCATTTTCCATTTTCTGGCATCGGCGTGGGAAGACATCAGGCGTTTTTCTCCATCCTTATTTATGTGATCTGTTTGTCACTTTCTTTTTTCATATTTCTGCCTTTCATCTTGGGTGCGTACTCTGCTTTTTTGTTTTCCTACGACCTTTTTTCAAGCGTCTTCAGGTCTTCTTGGCTCGACTCTTTTAATACATTTCGGGCCTTGTGGCCGGTTACATCGGCTTGTGTCTTTTTTGGGGTCCAGAGTCTACGCGTGTGTCTGTGTTGTGTAGATTAATTGGTTTTTCTGTGGGTGGATGTTTATCAATATATATGCGTACATGGACCTGTGGACATATAGTACCCATGGATGTTCTTATGTGGAAGTAATTAACGTTAACATTAGATTGGTCTCGGGTATTTGGGTTGAGAATGTTGATTGGTTTATTGGTGTATTTTGCAGTATATCGATGTTGCCAGATGGTTTATACTGTAGACTGTTTATAGCGCAATGCGGCACTCTGTTGGCCCAGATACATCCATGGTTGTAGAATTTCAATAAGGTCATCCAAAATAGGCTCAGTTATTGTTTGTATTTTGGATTGATGACAATATACAACATATATAGTATTGAGCAAAATGAACCTAAGTATTAGACAAGCCTGAATATAGACAGATCGATAGCTAGCATCACGTGACATAGATAGCATCACATGATCAATATCAGGATGGATCTGCTCCCGCTACTTTTCATCAAGCAAGCCACCAAGAAGACCGGCGTATTATCCCTTTTATCGTTAAAGCGACCTAAATTCAGGTGCTTGCTTGACTTATTGCGTGTTACCGGCCAACCAAGCGAAAGAGGGGCCGAAGCGCGCGTATTGGAAGTGAAGGGCATTTCTTGCGTCCACTCAAGGTTACCTTTCACGCCGGCGAGGTCTTGAGACGTATATCAAACCGCCGCCAATCTTGGGATTGACCTGTCATTCGGTCTTATTCTTCTCGTCTACCGGAGACGATTTTACATAGACTCGCACATCACGACGAACTTCATTTTTGGTACAAAATGAACGCGCCTGATCGGTGAGTGTGAAACAGTCTTTACTTCTGTTCCCCCGAGAGATGAAGTTTTCGGGTTCTTAGCCGGGTACTAGGCCCTGGGGCAAAATAAGAAGGATGAAAAGCATTGCTCTTTCCTTTTCGGCCTGTCTTCCCCGGGTGCTTGACGTTCTTGATCTCCCATTATTCCCGCTTCTTCTTGTTGTTACTTTCCCACACCCTTTTTCTTGAACCATGAGCTACGCTACAATGCCCGAGATCTCCTTCGTTACCACCACGGCGGCCATCGCCAAGGATCGTTATGGCCGCCGGGGCTCTGCTCCTGCCCCACGCCACGAGCGTAGCCTCATGTCTGCAGGAGATGAGGTCCCTGATGTGTCAGTTCTGTCGAGTCTATGGGATGCCCTTGGTGCCCGTGGTCTCGGTCTGCAACACCTTATCTTTCCATCCCACCTCCACCACATGCTTGAGCCTTCACCTATAGGACCATTTAGATGCTAATGTCGAGTACAGGTATGAGGCGATCCTGCTCGCTCCTGGCGAGAACAAGATCGACGTCGAGGTCGACACTCGTAAGTCTTGTTGACCTGATGAAACTCGACACCCTGTCTTACTCTTTTACAGGCCTTCCTTCGGCTGCGATCTTCACTTTCCACAAGGAGGATCACACCCTCGGCAACATGCTGCGCACTCGCTTGCTCAAGACCCAGCATGTCATTTTTGCCGCCTACAAGGTATGGGGTTTGATTGATGCTGCATTGAACCGAGCAACGCTAACAAGAACTTGCCAGGTCCCCCACCCTCTGACTCCCAACTTCTTATTGCGTGTTCAGACCGATGGTGAAGTCACTCCTCGCCAGGCTGTTATCAACGCCTGCCATGCTCTGATCAAGGACTTGGGTATCCTTTCTCGCGAGTTTACCAAGGAGTTTGAGCTTCGCAAGATGGCCAACGCCGCCAACCAGCAGCAGCAGGGCGCCGAGTAAGTGGTCTGAAGGCTCACTTCATCCATTTTCTTTTTTGGGGTCTGAAAATCCGGCGCATGGAGCAGCGGTCATTAGTGCCTTGCTTTTCTTCTCTTATTTTTGGTCTTGGGGATCTATAGATAGCCCATTCTCTGCGGCTCGTTTTTGCTTTTTCGTCTCATTTCAGCCAGGCTTAGACCGGCCATGATTTGCAGCGACACAATGTGTCTACCATGATACCAATGAAATGCATCTGCTCATTGCTTCTGCCAGTAAATGTTGTAGAACCAAAAATATCTCTGTAGGGCCAATGACTAAGCACCCGGTTGGGTTAGCGTGCCTCCGCGTCCAGGGCAAGCGTCATTCGCATCCTCCTGAGATCCAACTTCACGTACCATCTTTGCATTCGTTCTTTCTTCTGATCAATTTCTTAGTTCTTCTGCATCTGTTTTGTCCATGCAAGCGTGGTTTCGGTAATGTTTTCCTCGTCGAATACTTTCCTCGGGGGTGGTGCCAGTGGCCGTCCTGGCCAGGCACCATTCATGCAGCAACAGCAGCAACAACAACCCTACTCGCAATTCCCCCAGGGCCAACAGCAGCCCTCAATTCAGCAGCCTCAGCCCACTGGCTTTGCTCCGCAGCCCACCGGATTCACCGGTCAGCCCTCGCCATTCGGTAACCAACAGCTACAGCCCCAAGCCACCGGGTTCCCCGCGGGACAACTCCAGCCTCAAGCGACCGGTTTCCCTGGAGGCCAACTTCAGCCCCAATACACTGGCTTCCCCGGCGCTTCGCCTCAGCAACCGCAACAACCGCAACAGCAGCAAGCGCAGAGCTTCCAACCCCAGTTCACTGGATACACCCCTCAGACCCAGGCGCAGGCGCCGCCTCCGGTTCCCCAGATCCCACAGCGATTCAAGACCTCATCTGAGATCGCGAACTCCTTCCAAGATGCCGGGGCCGGCGCGCCTCCCCAGGTGCCGCCAAAGACCGGATCGAAGATTCCTAGTATTCGGCTGTCCTTCATTACCGCCCAGGATCAGGCCAAGTTTGAGCAGCTCTTTAAGTCTGCCGTTGGTGACAGCAAGACAATGGATGGTGGGTTTCCCGAGCTACCCCATGATTCTGGCGATGGCTTGTATACTGACTGAAAATAACAGGCGACAAAGCGAGAGATCTTCTAATGCGCTCGAAGCTGACGGGCACCGACCTTTCTAAGATCTGGGTCCTGTCCGATTCTACCAAGTCTGGACAGCTGTTCTTCCCCGAGTTTGCATTGGCCATGTATCTGTGCAACATTCGTCTCACCGGCCGCGAGCTTCCTCCTTCCCTACCCGAAAAGATCAAGAATGAGGTTTCTAGTATGGTGGATATCATCTCATTCGATGTTCCGGATACCCAGCCAGAGCCGCCACAGCAGCGAACGAACGTCCCCAACTTCGACGCTCCTCTCATGGAGAACAAATCGACACCCCCGATTGTTCAACAGCCCGTGCCACAACAGCCGAATAATGCCCAGCTCCTGTCGCAGCTGACCGCGCAGCCCACTGGTTTCTTCCCCCAGCAGACTGGTATTCAGCAACCCCAGCCCACAGGCTTCCCTGGCCAGAACCAGTCTCAATTCCTCCAGCCTCAGCAGACCGGATTTATGACCAACCCGCAGGCAACTGGTTATACTGGCCCGCGGCCGCCAATGCCGCCTATGCCTACTGGGTTCGGCTCAAACCTGAGCCCGGCCCAGACTGGCGGAATGGGCCTGACAGCTCAGCCTACCGGTTTGACAGCTCAACCTACTGGTATGCCAGGCCAGTGGGGTTTCATCAACACTCCTGCACAAGGTCTGCCTAATATCGATGCCATGAAGCAGCAGCTTATGCCACAGCCTGGCCGCGAAGGCGGCTTTAGCGCAGCTGCTCTTTCGGGTAATGCTACGGTTGCCTGGGCTATCACCAAGGAAGAGAAGAAGATTTATGATGATCTCTTCCGCGCATGGGATGGGTTGCGAAAGGGCTTTGTCAGCGGTGAGACAGCTATTGAGATCATGGGCCAGAGTGGTTTGAACCGTAAGGACCTGGAGCGCATTTGGACTCTGGCGGACCCGCATAACCGTGGCCGCCTCAATATGGATGAGTTCGCTGTGGCCATGCACATGATATACCGTGCTCTTAATGGATATCCTGTGCCCAACCGTCTACCCCCTGAACTTGTTCCCCCATCCACGAGACACTTGAATGATTCCATTGGTACAGTGAAATCGCTTCTTTCCCAGGATGCGGAGACCCGCAAGGCAACCGGGGCGTTCCTCCAGCCTCAGAAGACTGGTGTCAGCTATCTCAAGGATCACTCCTTCCGCGGTGGTGGTAGTAACTCCCCCGGAGCCCGCAAGGATGCTACTATGTTCAAGAACAATGATGCCGCCGGTGGTTACCGCTCCAGTGCTCGCCGTCGTGTTGGCAACGACGCTCGTACTCCTTCCCCTGCCGCTTCAGGAGCATCAGATGAGGATTACTCTGTCGAGCAATTGACCAAGAAGATTCGGGAGACCAAGGTTATGCTTGACGCCGTCGATTTCCAAGATGAGAACCGGGCAGAGGATGATGATGCTCTTGACCGCCAGGACCGTCGCGAGGCAGAGAGCCTCATGGACCGTATCCGCCGTGTGCAGGATGACCTCGATACCCACCCCAATGCCGCGTTCCGCCAATTGGACAGCGGAGCCGAGCGTAGGTCTCTCCGTCGCCAGTTGCAGTCCTACGAGGACCAAGTTCCTCAGGTTGCATCTGATGTGCGCCGTCTTGAGCGTGAGATTGCCGATGCGAAGCTCGAACTCTTCCGTCTTAAGGATGCCAAGGCTCACCCAGGTGGTGCCTCCAATATTATCGGGACTGGCCCCGGTGGTACTGTGACCGAGGCGGACCGAATTAAGGCCCGCGCTCGCGCTCGCATGCAAGCCCGGGCTGCCGAGCTTGCTGGACGCCCTGCGCCTGTCTCGGAAGATGAAGATGGCCAAGCTGCTCGTCGTTTGGAGACTGAGAGCTCTAACGTGAAGGCTGAACGGGAGCGCAATGACGCTATGACTCGTGATGTCGAGGAGAGTGTGCGCGACTTTGCCCGCAGTTTGGAAGACAGCCTTCGTGATCAGGGTAGCAACTCTACCCGTGAGCATGAGAAGCGTCGCTGGGAGGATGCCCTGGGTGTCGAAGATATCACTCGCGACTTCATCTACGACTTGAGCCGTAACTCTCGAACTGCTCATATTCGCAAGGAGGAACGGTCAAGACCATCACCCGAGGTGCAAAGCCGCGCATCCCCAGCGGCTGAATCTCCTGCTGCGCGACCTTCCATGCCTCAATCCGTTGATTCATCAAGCTCCCTCCCAGGTAACACACACGAGGACCGTGTAGCTGCTGCCAGGGAGCGTGCGCAGAAGCGGATTGCTGAGCGTATGGCCGCTGCCGGTTTGAAGCCAAGCGACGCCAGCGAGACTCTTGTGCAACGTCAAGAGCGCGAGAAGAAGGAGCGTGAGGACCGTGTCAAGCGTGCCGAGGAGGAAGATGCCAAGCGGGAACAGGAGAGACAGCGTCGCCTTGCCGATGAGCGGGGTGGTCCTAGCACCGCGGCTTCGAAGACCGCGGGCAAGAAACCACCTCCAGCTCCCCCTACTCGCCGGGCCCGGACAGACAGTGCCGGCCAGGCTGATGCCAAGAAAGCGGAGGAGTCCGCCAAGTTGGAGCAGGCTGCTCGTGAGCAGGCCATTAAGGAAGAACAGGAAGCACAGGAGGCCGAGACCAAGCGTCTTGAGTGAGTTTAACCCAAAGCAACAGCAACGGTGGAAATAGCTAATACAGTTACAGGGACGAGGCCAACCAACGTGAGTTGGAATTCCAGAAGGAGAAGGATGCCCAAGCTGCTCGACTCCAGGCTCTTGAGGAACAGGTCCGCCAGGGCAAGATCAAGAGGCAGGAAGAGAAGCGTCGTAGGGAAGAAGCTAGCCGACAGGCCAAGGAACAAGAGTCTAGCCTTGCAGCTCAGCGTGCGGAGCTCGAGGCAGCCAAGGAGCGCGAGCGACAGCTGCAGCGTGAGCTCGAGGGTCTTGATGACGATGAGAGCTCATCCGATGATGAAGGCCCTGCCGATATAACTCCTCAGCACAGCACCCCGGCGCAGAGCCAGGTTCTCTCCGCCCCTCCCCCGGTGCCTACGATCGCTATCCCCGAACCCCCAGCGGCACCTGAACCTGAGAGCGTGCCCACCCCCGAGGCCAGCTCGCCTGAAAGCAGCCGTGGTGTTCCTGCAGCTACCCCCGATGCCGAGTCAAAGAACCCCTACTTCAAGAACATGGCCCAGCCCTCCGCCGACTCTACCGTGACCTCGCCGCCAGCTACCGCCCAGTCTACGAACCCCTTCCACCGTATGACCCAGCAACAACAAGAACCCGCCAAGCCCTCCTTCCACGGTGCAGTTCCCCTGGAACGCAAGACCCGCGCGCGCCCCGAGGATGACGATGACTGGTCCAATGCCGGTTCCGAGTTCGACTCATCCGATGACGAGGACGAGGACCGGCCCGGTGGCGGCAGTGCCAAGCAGCTCGCCAGTATCCTCTTCGGGACAATGGCACCCCCGCGTCCTCTGAGCGCCATGGACGAAGACAAGTCTACCTCTAAGTCTGCTACCCCGGTGCAAGCCAGCCCTGTCGCACCTCCTCCCCC